GTTGTGGCAGGTGCCTGTAGTCCCAGCTACCCAGGAGGCTGAGGTGAGGGAATCGCCTGAGCCCAGGAGTTGGAGGTTGCTGTGAGCTGTGTGGTGCCATTGGCACACTCCTGAGGGCGACAAAGTAAGACTCTGTCTCTACAAAAATAAATAAATAAATAAATAAATAAGGGATCTATGTATCCATGTAATACAAAAACCCTTTTTCTGGTATTCAAAACAAAACAAAGGGAAAATTTTTTGCATCCTTTTAATATTTTGCAATAGAAGCTGGTCGGTTAGTTCAGTTGGTTAGAGCGTGGTGCTAATATTTTGCAATAGTTTTTCTTAAAAAAAAACTTTTTGTTTCAAAGGATAATTTAGTTTTTATATAAGTCACATGTTATGGCAGCTGAGAGGAAGTAAGCTCTACACATACACATATCAAGTGTCTAAGAAGCACACAGATTTATCTGGGAATATTGGGCAGAGAATGAACAGAACATTGAGGCCATAAGAAATAAAGAAAATCTGTTTCTAAAGCCTAACAAAGTTAGACCTTCTGTTCAGTCTATGATTTCATAATTATCTTAGTTAAAAATAGTACCTATAGCTATGTTTCTATTACTTCCATCACAGGTATGGCTAACCTCAAAACCTAAGGAAGGGTTATCATACTGATCTCTTACCACTAGAAGCAGTAAATATGGCAGTTAATAGTGTGGGCTCAGAAGACATACTGCCTGGGTTTGAAACCCAACTCTGGAAGATACTAGCATTTGATCTTATTCATCTGTATAATTATAGTACCTACCCGCTAGGTCCTAGTGAGATTTAAAATGAGTTAGGATAGCTACAGTGCTGAGAATAATTTGTGGCACATAGCCAATCCCATATAAATGTTAACTCTTATTGCAATTATATATTATTGCAAACCCTGGGTTATTAACGATATAGGTTCTGTAGGTTTGTTCTTAAGATGAATTTGTATGTAAGTTGGACCAGGTACATTTACTTATTATCTATAATAGCCTCTGTTCATACATGTGAGTTGTATATGAGCTGGATGTTTATAACTTGGGGACTGCCTATGTAACATTATTTTTGTTAGAATAGTATTTGGCCTTTGGTAAGCATTTAATCAATGTTTTAGGTATCTGAAAGGTGGTAGGAATGAGTCCATAGTTGCAAGCATACTCCCAAATTCTTGAGTAAAGGTAGAAGACTTGGCTCGGCGCCTGTGGCTCAAGCGGCCAAGGCGCCAGCCACATACACCTAAGGTGGCGGGTTCGAATCCCCA